TTCTACTGCTACAGGCAGATTAACATGGCGACCCATCTTGATCAGCCTCCGCATGGTCATTTTAGTTTCTAGGGAGAGTTCAGGCTCGATTTGGTCTAGAACCCGCCGATTTGACTTTTCGGTAGTCCATCGTATTTGTTAAACTCTCCTTCAGCACCACATTCCAAAGGGATTTACTTTCTTCCTAGATGTATGGACTGGTGACGTCCACTTCGATGTATCTGAAGAAGTGTCGACTTCCACTTCGATGTATCTGAAGATGTGTGCACACACAGGAAAGCGTATACCTTGGATAAAACTTTATTGGTCTTAAAGGTGCCACTGGCAGCTGCATGTCCTAACCGTTATACCAAACTGAAGGGATGGGGAGAAGGTGCACAGGATTTTCAAGCCATTATGGAGCATCTACAACCGATCAAAATGAATTGGCCCCTGAATCGCCAAACAGTTACATCAGCCTAAAGGAGGCTTGCCAAACAGCAGGTGTGGCCTGGAGATTTCCTGGGATTGCAGCTGGTCTCCAAACCCTGCCTTCCTCAGGCTCCACCCCAAAAATCTCCAGGTATTCCTGAACCCAGAGCTAGCAACCCTAGAAAAGGTAGAGTTTGGGAGGGCAGGGACCTCCAGAGAGGGGTGAAATGGCATAGAGTCCACCCTCCAAAGCAGGGGAGCTGAACTCTCTAGTCTGGACACCTTGGGCCAGTCACAAGTTCTCTCAGAGCTGTTCTCTCAAGGGCAGTTCTCAAAAGAGCTCTCTCAGCCCCACCTGCCTCCCAGGGTGTCTGTTGTAGGGAGGGGGAAGGGAAAGGAGTTTGTAAACCGCTCTGAGACTACTTCGGGTAGTGAAGGGCGGGGTATAAATCCAATCTCCTCCTCCTCCTCTTCTTCATCTGCTTCTCTAATGCATGAATCACACCTTATATGGGTCAGGTTCGGTGGAAGTTCCTCAGCACCTCGGTAGACGCGGGGGGAGATTCCTTCTGAAATGCCGTGCCAGGCCCCTCTCTTCCCCTGCTAAAATGAGCAAATGGATACGATGACTACTGCCTCTTTCCGTTCCATAATTTGTTACTATTTATGCTTCGAAACAAACTCCATAAATTATACAGGATTTGTAACGGGGTGAAGTTAATACTGCTGCCCATTTAGCATTTCATGGGGCTTCTTTTTTAAAAAAATAAATAAATCCAGCCTCGTAGAGATTTAAAATAATCCCAGGCGCTCACAGAGGCAACACCTCCAACAATAACATCTAATAAATATCCACACACACACCCAAAGTACAGCATTCCAACAGTGGACGATAAGACAAAGAAACTGTCCACCCCCTTGAATTGCTATATTAATTTGCCTGTTTTAATGTAAGTTATGGGGGCTCTGATGTGCACAGAAACTTATGGAGGGAGCTCAATGCGTACAACAGCACATGGACAAACCTTTGGTCTATCAAAGGAGTCACCAGCATGGTGTCTATGGGCGTCATGGTTCCTGCT